CATTGTACTCTGTTTACATTGTCTCCTGCTCTGGCTAAGCAAAGGTCATTTTTGTCATTGAATTAGTCTGCCTCTTTCTCTGTCTTTTTTTTGTTGAATCGTAATATTATACAAATGTACATGCAAATTAGATGTGGATAGAGAACATGTTAAACAGATGTAAAATGTGATATTTACACTGAACTTCAATTTGAATGCTGCTGGAACGTCCAACTCCAATCTCATTTTCAGCTTTGCAAAACAATATTCGTCTGTCTTTGGAGACTTTAATAGATAAACTCATTCCTGTCCCAATAAAAGTCTCCTGGTCTCCATCAGCACTGTACCAGGTGTAGTTCCTCACTGCTGGGTTGGCATTACTGCTGCAGGTTAGAGTCACGTTGCTGTTCTCTGGTACTGGACCAGAAGGACTGACTGAAACTGTAACGTTTTTAGGTGAAAAAATGAGCACAGAAACATGCAGACTGAAATGTTAGGACAGTTTTATTTACAGAATAAGTGTAAATATTTGTAATACAGTAGTGCCCTGAAAGATATTTTTAAAAATAATATTAAATATTCTTGAATGCAAAACACAACATTGTACCTCTCAGTATAAGCAGAGAGCAAACCACACCAATATAAAGGTTTAATCTTGAGCAGAAACTGAAGAGTAAACATGACAAGTTGTTTTTCTTGTCTTGTATCTTTCTAAAGACTCTGTTCATGTCCAATAAACTATTTTTTCTTCTGTCTTTAACTTTAACTGTCTTAAATCTTTAACTGATTTATTGATGCAAGCTTTAGAGCCATTTGATGAAAGTTTGAATTTTTTTTAGTTCTTCTTACTATGTGCCTAATATTGTGCCTGTCAGAAATCCCCAATTTTAATAACCAATACTTAAATTAACTACTTGTAATGTGATTATTGTCAGTCTCATTATTTAACTCTACCTCAAAGAGCAGTTACTGCTTTTAGTTTCATTGCAGTAATTCATGTATTGTACATCCTTCAATCCTATTAATGGAATTCTAGTTGTGATATGTAAAGAGTAAATATGGAAAATTAATACATACATTGAACATCTATTTGTAGGTTGCTTGATCATTCACATCCAAGTGCATTTGTAGCCTTGCAGAAAAATGTACTTTTGATTGTTGAAACAGCAATATTAAAAGAGCTTCCAGTCCCAGTAAAAGTCTCCTGGTCTCCATCAGCTCTGTACCAGGTGTAGTTTTCTACTGCTGGGTTGGCATTACTGCTGCAGGTCAGAGACACGTTGCTGTTCTCTGGTACTGGACCAGAGGGACTGACTGAAACTGTGACGTTTTTAGGTGAATCTGCAAAATGAGCTCCATAACATGCACAATGAAATGTAAGACAGTTTTATTATTGAAAAAGCGTGAATATCTGAGCTGGTATTATAATGATTATTTAGTTTACTTTGTGTAATTACTTGCTCTTGAACAAATAATATGAAATCCTACTTGGGTCTTACTAAGCTTGGGTTGAGACAAACAACAAATTTGGTTTTGTCTTAAGTAAAAACTGAGAAGTAAAAAGCACAAGGTATTTTTCTTGGTCTCTAATATTTTGAATACAAAAACACATATTTTCCTACCATTCAATTCTATTAGTGAAATTCTAGTTGGGTACTAGTCAGGGTACATAAATAGTAATTTTGTAAAATTAATACATACACCTGATGTCTATTTGGAGGTTGATGGATGCTTTAAATCCAACTGTGTTTGTAGCCTTGCAGAAAAAATTACTGTTGATTGCTGAAACTGTAATATTTAAAGTGTGTCCAGTCCCAATGAGAGCCTCCCCATCAGCTCTGTACCAGAGGTGGTTTTCTACTGCTCGGTGGGCATTACTGCTGCACGTCAGAGTCACTTTTTGGTTTTCTGACATTGGACCAGAGGGACTGACTGAAATTTGCACATCTTCAGGTGATTCTAAAAACGAGTATTATGATAATTTGCTAAATGTAATATTATGTAAATCACACATCACAGCTCCTTTTGCACTTTAACTGAACTATTAATAGATCATCATATTACAGACCACAACGCCAAATGTCAAAAGTAAAACTTTTTCTGCAATTCTTTCTTGTTCGAGTGTTAGAGTGAATCTGAAGCTTCCACAAGCTCATGTGTTAAATTAGAAACTTATTATTATTTATGGGACAAATAAACAATATTTTTCTTTAAATTACCTTTAAATTCATTCTAGGTTGATGTATTGAGTAGGTTGTTGTCAGTAGGGCTTGTTTAGCAAACAGTTTTGAAAAAAAGACAATAAAAAGTAGAGGCTGAGTAGAGGCTGTATGCTCAGTACAATATTATCGGGATTTTTACCATTTTGCAATATGCTGGCTACTGCAATAACATTGTTACGGTTTGGAGGAGGACTCAAGCGCAGGACTCCGGGCTCAGATGCACACAAGAAAGATTTATTTACAATTCACCAGGTGTATATACAAGAAGGTG